GGTGGTCGGCCTCCAGATGAGTTTCGGAGTTCGAATTTCGTTCTTCGTTAGGCAGTTCGGCAGTTTCAGGGGCGATTTCTTGGACTGCGAACTCTTCATTTGGGTCGATCGGTTGCCCTTTGGTTCGGCTCGGTTTTCCCGCGGTGAAAAGTCTCATTTGTTTATTTAGTTGTTTTGTGTGGTTTTTGGTTTCGCTGTTTGTTTATGTCTCTTTGTTTAGTTTGGGTCGTTGACCAAAAGGCACCCGAGTGTGAGCGGGTATTATCCAGTGGGGATCGTTTTAGTCTCCTGTTTGGGAGTTAGTGGTTTTCTGTTTTGTGTTGTTGTGAGTGTGTTCTTCTAGCGTCACTAGGTTAGGCTCTAGGCGATCTTTGGATCTGTCCTCCCCCTATTTTCAGCCTTTGGTTGTATCTTTAAGCTTTTGGCTGTTTTCTCTTCGCACTTTGTGTGGTTTTCAATTATATAAAAATCTCTATCGTGTCAAGAAAAAAAATATACATTTTTGCGTCTCTGTAACATATAAGTAGATATATACAATTTATGTCTTCGTAATATACAATGGTAAAATGACCAGGTCGGAAACTTTATAAAAAAGAGGTCAAAGCTTAACGACGAGCATCATAATCTTGTACAAAGGGGGCATCAGCATAATTTCAATTTATGTTGTGTTTACAGTCAGTATATCTTCAGTATATATTGCGTTTTTATTTATATAACTTTACCAGCTCAAATGTTCTATTTCACATGCACATCATGAGCAACAATTGGACAACATCACTAGAGAGGTTGATGTTTGGTTTAATCTCTTTCATTATAAATCAATACTCTTATACAGACAAAAACCAAACATTCATTTACAAAATGTATCATGACAATTAAAACGTAAACACACGACATAACTACAAAAAAATTGCTAATATGCCAAACATAAACTATACATAAACATCAAATAAGCATTGCACAGATGCGATTAGAACAATCCACTCCAAACTGATTCGATTCATCTACTCCAAAAAATCAGCCTTATTCAACCCGAGAATCCAAATTCAACCCAAGTCAAACACTCCCCTCCGATCGGACGCTTGCATTTTTCATAACACAGACTCCAGCTCCAACCGTCGGGTCTCGGGGCGGCGAACCGCTATCTCAGGTCGTTGGAGGGCCAGCGCGCCTTCTCGTTTTGGTGGTTGCTCGTTGGGGCCTAGGGTCACCTTACCGCCAATGGGTCTGCCAATCGATCGAGCCTGTGACTCGTGCCGAAGTCATCCAAGCCGTGGGTCGCCTGTTTCTGACCAATCGAAGAAAAGAAAAAAGAGAAAATTTTCAGTTATATGTTTATTATCTAATATATATATATAAACCATTAATAAACTAGTCATAACAAAAAATAATGCAATTTCAAAATTCATGATAAAAATAAGCAACAAATAAGCAGTAAAAGTTAGGAAAATTTATTTAAATAAAAAAAAAACAAGTGGACAAAAATAAATAAAAAATAAAAAAAAAAATGGTGTGGACCAATATAAAAACCACGTATTCTGTGAATACATTTTTTATTGTAAAACGTATTCGTGTAATACGTTTTCAATAATAAAACGTATTCCAAGAATACGGTTTAGTTTAATTTAATTAATTAACATAATTAACGTAATTAACTAAATTGAAATATATGAAAACGTAAAACCAAAATACGTTTTAGAGTAACAAAAAAAGCGTATTATTGTAATATGTTTTATAATTAAAATTAATTTTGCAATTATGTTTTAATTATAAAACGGTTTCTTGAAATACGTTTTATAAATAAAAATAATTTTACAATTCATAAAAATAATTTTTTTTGCAGAAAATAATTTTTCAAAACATAAAACGTATTTGAAAATACATTTTTTCCTTAATTTTGGCCCATATTGATTTTGCCCTAATTTTTTCCCCAAATTTATTTTGCCCTAATTTTTCCGCCAAATTAAAACGTATTTTCAAAATATGCTTTTTTTTTTGAAAAAAAAATGTATTCGGAAAATACGTTTTACTGTGCAGAGACAGTACCTGTGCAGAAAAAATAAAAAAACACACCTGTTAATCGAGGTCGATTCCACAACCAAATATTAATTCGACAAACTCATATCAATCCATTCGTGAAAGAAAGAAAAATCAACCACAATAATTTATTCAAAATACAAAGATGTCCAAATATCATTACACATAATCCACCAAAAACAAAAAAAAATATGTCCACAAAATTCCTCGAATACAACACAAACTAATTAGGAGTGTATCGATTCGTAGGATGGCGCTCTCGGTTGCTGATCCGACGTGGTGGTCGTCGTGAAGAAGACGATGCGTTAGGCGTGGCAGATTCTTCTTCTTCTTCTTCTAATGATTCTCGGTTGCAAATTCGGTGATACGCAGCGGGTTCTTGCCAATCTGCTAATGATTCAATGGCACTGAGTAAGCCCGCATCCCTGTCAGAAAGAACGCAGAGCTGTCTCTGGAAGACTACATATTGCCGCAGATTCCTAAGGAAAAATGACCAACTGTCCGTGCTTTCTTCATCGACAAGCGCATACGCGATTGGCAATAGCCGCTTATTCGCAGTCTGTGCCGTGGCCACAAGCAATTTTTCCTTGTACAATCCACGCAAATGTGTGCCATCGACGCTAATAATCGGCAGACACATTTGGAAAGTCTGAATGGCGGGACCAAACGCCCAGAATACAAATTTGAATTGTCTGTCTCGAAGGTGTCGCGCCATTCTCCACCCTGCCATTCCCACTCTACAACTGTGGAGGGATTCGTTCCTTGAAGCGCGGCAAAATACCTGCACATTACAAAACAGTTTCATAATAAATAGATAAACATAGTGACAGACAAACAACACATATATTTGTAATTAATTTTTACTTACTGAGGGAGTTCTGCGAAGTTCGATTCCCAAGTGCCATACACACTCTCGATGGCTTTTCTCCTTCCGTGCCATGCCTTCTTGTAGCTGACATCCACTTTCCAGTACTGTTTCACATCAGCATAGATCATGCCGACATGGTACTCCACTTTCTTTCGAATCTTATTACGAATGAGATTTGAAATCATTTGGGCGGTTACATTTCTGTGGTCATTTCTCTCGACCCGTTGCATACAAGTGTGTCTATCAGTCCATTCAGTTAGTTCCCACAATTCATGAACTCGTCTGGACTTAGTCACCCGAGCCTTCCGCACACAAGGCGGATCTTCACTAGATCTGCATACCACTTTGTATGACTTTTGATTTGAATCATTTGTCCGAATCTACTGCAACCTATCGACGTTCCAAGCCATTTGGGCTTCTTGCTTGCTCCTAAAAACTATACCCAAACGTATGGTCTCAATGTCGCCATTCCAACGTGGAATAGCATACTCGTCCTCATCTATCCTAGATCGGCTCCCGTTCACCCATCTCGCGGTATACATGTCGACCACCACTAGGAACAGGGTGTTCTTCTTCAATGAACTCGGTTTCACTCTCCTCATTTACCGATCTATCTAATTCGGTTTCTGAGGTCTCGTCTATGAAATCATCTTCACCGAGAATGAAATCTTCGTCATTTTCTTCCCCGTCCTCATTTGCCCATTCTCTCATTGGTGAGCTTGTACTTTCTCCAAAATTACATAGATGAGAAGTCGACGTGCCCTCAACATCATCCACTCCCCCGTAATAAGGAGTAAATCCTCAAACTGTGTAACCGGTGTAATTGCCTCCAACGATAAATGCAATTACACAACGGACATAGAAGGAAAGAAATAAATCCAATGAAGAGCACTATCGTTATCGAGTCTTCCGGCATTCCACGAACCATCGGGTTGACGAAACATTAAAGTAATCTCTTGAATTCTCCAACCTTCTCCAAACTGACAATTTTCATTAATCATCTGTACCAATTGTTCATATGATATCCTCCCCGTAATAACAAATGAACCATCCGGACGATCTATAAATGAAACAAAATCTCTTAATTGTTCCTTCGCACATCGCCAATACAATTTAACAAAATACGGACCACAGTACGCCATTTATGCCTGTTGCAAAAAAAAAAAACTTTCAATTCTTCCTAATTACAACAACACATAATGTCTAATCCAACACCCAAAAAATTCAATTATTTTTTTATCATTCTAAATTTAAAAGCCATTTTTTTACTCCAACGAAAAAATCAAAATAAATATTCCCTATCAAATGATCGTCCAAAACCCTAATACACTAATCCAACAATAACATACAATTCATCTATATTTCGAATAAATTGAAAGCCCTAATTCTAACTCTAATTTCGAAAAACAAAATTTCAATCTCCAATTCAACATACACACATAATCGAAAAACAATGGACAATTCCCAATCTTCAAACACCACCACATTCAAACATACTATAACAATTTTCAATCTCCAAACAACTACAAAGGATGTTAAAAGTTGAGATAAGCTAAAATACCTCGTGCGAATGAATTAACCGGAAATGTTGCTCGTGTCGATGTTGTCGGTTCCCGCCGGGATGGAAATGGGATCGCGTTTTTTTTTTCCCGAAGGTTTGAAATCGGGGGGGATCGCTGTCTGCTCTCTCGTCTCTCTGTGTGCAAGTGAAATGGAGAAGAGAAATTTTTTTTTTATATGTAATATTAAAAACGTCTTTTCTTTATACGTTTTACTTCTATTTATTTTTAAAACATATTTTTTTTTTTCGTTTTCTTTTTTTTTTTTTATTAAAACGAATTATGCGTTTTATTAAAACGCATTCTTTAATGAACGTTTTGAGTCAACAAAAACGTATTTCGATTATACGTTTTTTAATTAAAAGATTTTCTTTTTTTAATTAAATTATATAAATAAAAAACAAATTTTCAAAATACGTTTTTTAAAACCCTAAAAATTTTAGGGTTTCGGAAANACCCTAAAAGTTAGTACATTTACTGTAAAAATAAATTTTTCATAAAAAAAATAAATAAAATTTTTATAATATAATATTGTTCAGTGGAATAAACTGAGAGCGCATCCAAACTTGGGTCTACAACTACACAGATCAATCTTTGGTCTTCTCGTCTATACTCTCCACCCTCGCCATCCTCATCGCCGGAAGACCGCAGGCCACCTTCAGGTCAGTTTCCGACGCCGACTGTACCTGCTATTAAACTCTCGTTGTCCCGAAATCCAATTTTTCTTTCCGCCATAAACGATAAATTGTAATATCTCGAGAGTAAATATTACAAAACTAGAGATGAACCTGGTATTGAGGTCGTTATTGTTTGAAAAAGTATGGCCGTCTCATAGATTGCTGAACCTGGTGGTCTTAGGTTTGTACTCTGCGTATGTGGTGTGTGTACAGAAGGTGCAAAAAAAAAATGGGAAGGAAAAAAGTATGCCTTTCCCTGTGTTAAAACGGGCGGGCCTATATCAGGGTTTCCAAGCCCATGGAAAAACAAGCCAGGCTGGCTCTGGCCCGTTTTAGACCCGAGTACATGGGGTCGGACTGGACTGATTGGCATTACTAATGACGAACGATTGATTGTGAAAAGATCAATTGGGTGGAAAGAGAGAAAAGGGATATGAATAGTTGCCTCTTGAAACAAAACAGTAGAGGATGTGTTTGTAATTTGTAAAACTTTATATTCTTATGATTGTGAGTAGTTATGTTTGCTTCATCGTTTGTCGTATATTTCATTAACTGACAACTAAAGCAGACCGAGGCGAAACCTTTTACCAGCCATGGCGAACCAAGGAGCGAAAAAGCGCAAAGAGGAAAATGCCCGCCATATGAAAACTCTTCTCCGTCTCATCATTGCCTCCAATGTAATTGAAAAAATCTTTCCATATGGTTTTTCAATTTTGTGGTTAATTTTTTATTGAATATCACCCAATTGGATGAACTCTAATAGTTTTGTGTTTTTTTTTTGCTTTTGACAGGCGATATATCTATTGCTAAGGATTGGTGTATTCTACTCCAGTTTCACATGGAAGCATTTGGTGGGCCTAATTTTAACTTCGTTGGCTTACTTTATTCCTTACCAACAGCTTGACTCCATGGCCAAGCCCACTTTTACTGATGATGGAGAGCTTCTTGATGGCGGATTTGATATGAGCACTGGTGGAATTTGTGGGTATGTGAGTTGTTCTTAGATTGAATTGTCGTGCATATGGTACTAGGAGAAATATTTAAGTGCTTCTTTTTCTGCAAGATTGCTCTTTTACTTGCGGCACACCTGTGTACTGCCTGCAGCATTAGTGTCATTTTCTGTTTCTCTTTCCTCTGTTTTTTAATTTGTTTTTGGTCTCCAGTGGATGTGCATATTTTGTTTTACTGTGGATGTTCTTTCCTATTATGTTTATATTATGTTTTAGGGTGGTATAGTATGTGCTTAGAACCTGTTTCCTGTTTTGTGTCAGATTGTAAAGGTAATGATTTGTTAATTTCTACATTTTCTTGCAGATATCTGCATGATGTGATCTACATTACATTGTTTGTCCAACTCAGTTCCATCATTTCTGAGAAGTTCTGGTACATATACTTGGTGGTGAGTATTTTATCCTTCCATGCCAAAAGAAAAATAAAATAATAATGGAGAAGATGGGCCTTCAACTATGATTAGTATGATAAAGTAACTTTTGACTTGAAGCAGTGAAGTTCTTGTTTATAATGAAAATTGTATATCTGTTGAAGCTAGTTTGGGGCTTTATTTCCTAGATACAACCATGGAACGTTCATGTATATTGCTAGAATTTTAAAGGTAATGCACATAATTTTGCTTATTTTTGGACTCATTCTTTTTCGTTTTTTTTTCTTTAGTAAGAGTCAGTATAAGGAGCTTTATTTCTGTCACTATGGGATTGTCAGCATTTCTGGCATATAATTATTTCTGAGGTAACTGGGGAACTTCTAGATATCTGCAGATGATTGGGAAGTGAAATAAAATGTGTCTTAGAAAGTGATAAAGTTATATGACATTTTTGAAGGGAAATGATTTATATTATATGTGGTTAACTTTTCAGTTTTCGCTGATTCTGGGAACTTCAATGTCAAACTGGGGTGGGAGGTGTAACAATAATTTTTATCGTGAGTAAATAAGAGCAAATGGTTAAACTTATTAAAATAAGATTCTCACTTCATTAATTCATTAACCTCCATATGGGTATTGTTTAATGTGAAAATAGAAGTTTGGACATTGCTGCTTAGATGGACAGAAAAGGCAAACACAAGAGAACATCTCATGCAATATTTTAGTACAGTTGATGGTGTTGGCCTTAAATTTCTTTGTATTTCAATCTTTTTTTGTCACTTTCACATTTGGGGCTGAAAGCGAGCCAAAAGGTGAATGACTGAGGAGCTCTTATTGTTGACCAAATAGTTATTTACTAGCCTTATCTTTGGTAATAATATTATTATCATTCTATATGACATGTCACCTTGATCGTGGCATGCAAGAATTTATTCAGATGCTTGTTGATTGGCCTAGTAGATCGTTTAGTAAAAGTTAGTGGTATCTTAATTGCACAACTGCTTCCACACAAGTCACTTAATGAAATGAGGGAAAGTGAATTTTACAATATGATAATTGGACACACTATGCTTCAATGAGTTTTCTCAAAAAACACCGTTTATAACTTACGTGGTGATATTTCTCTGATCCTGAAGAGAGTTCTACTTCAACATTTTTCCCTGGCTTAATATCTCATTTTTTACTGCTTCCTGCTCCATTCAATGTTTTAAATTACATTTTCCAAAAACGGAATCATGTCAAAATTTTGAATATATCTGGATATGATGCAAAGAGTATGTGGACCAATGACATTGATTGATTTTGAAGATATCAGGCTTTTTGGGTTAACTTAGTTATCATAGAGATTTTTTTACAGTTATTTGCACACACCATATTTGGAAGCTATTGCCTCTTGAGTCTTGACAATTAAACCAAGCCTGAGCTTATAGCTTGCTTGACATTCCTGCTGTGAAATATTTTGCATCAGCTAAAGCTTGATATTTTTTCACATTTATAGCTTAGCAGTTGAAAGCCCTTGGTAGCAAGAAACACATAATAATTATGAAAATTCCATCTATCCTTGTATCCATTCAAGCATATTCCTGGAGGTATTATGTGTGTTAATCTCTTACAAAGGCAAATTAACTTGATTGGAACTCTTTTACATAATATCCAGATTCCAGGATTTGCTGCCTATCAACTATTTGGGCTTGTCAAAGGGTTTTTGTCACATAGTTCAGAGGTACTCTCGTACACTACCCTCGTCATTTACCTCTGTAATGTGTAAGAAAGGGATGGTCACAGAAAATACACTTGAGGTTTTTGTTGTAAATATGGAATTCCCTGATATGTTTGAAAATATTAAAAAAGCACATGATATGGGTATTTTAAGCAAGTAGCTATAAAATTTATGTAGATGTAAAGGGAGGATTGTTGATGTATTTCCCTGGGGAAAAATGAAAAACACGTCAAATTTTATGGGTGTTCTAATTTTTAATTTCTATGGAATCTTGTAATTTTCCAAATCTCGTGGCTGTTTTGTGTAAGTAACTCCAAAAGAGTAATACTTGTGATGAGATGGGCAAATACTCGTACCATCTGATTATGTGTGTGGTGCAGGGGGCCGAGGAAGATGAAAAGACGAGGAAGAAGAGAGAAAAAATGGAGAAGAGGGCTTCAAGAACCAAATTTGTCAAGACTCGGACAAGATAATGTGAACTTGAGCAGGTCAAACGATGATTTACTAATCGACTGTCTGCAACATACAAGTATAATGAGATGCACTCTCAAGGATATCATGTACCCCACATTTTGTTGTACTAAATGATCTTTTAGATTGATTTGTTTGGCTGTGAACAGCAAAACCATAGGCTTATTGAGAATTGGGTAGTCATAATGTTATTTTTCCGAATGTATGGAACCCTNCTGCATATGGACTTTTTTTCCTAGGCGCTCATTTTGTGTGGGCTTTTAGTTCAAGTTTCTATTGCAGTGGACGTGGTTATTGGCAAGAACTTATTGAATCCATTGTGTGAGCTCATAATAAATTAAAAGTTGCTCCTATTTTTATACAGGCAACCACACATATTTAAGTGTTCAAGTGGCCTAGTTACATCCGATTAATTTCTGCTGTTTAATAAAGCTTGCCCGTAAAATTATTTTTCCTATGGCATTGTTACTATGTTACTTAAAGCAGTCGCTTGGTACTTTCTATGGTAAACAACACCGCAAGCAGCCAAGCAGTAGGCTTAGTATGAGATGGGTCTCATACAATTTGAAGTCCAGCTGCAAAAGAATAGTGAAATATAAGATGATTTTTCTACTCCTGTATCTGACATAAATAAATGAAAGTGTTCATGCATCTATAAAGAAAATCACTCTTAAATCTAACATAAATAAATAAAAGTGTTCATACATCTATAATATACATTAAGTTCTTATTTAGTTATTTAGTGTTTTTATTAGAGACTCATTTTTCATATATTTTTGTTGGAATTGTAATATACTATTTAAATCTTTTTGCATTACGACATCGTTATAAAAAAAAAAAAAAAATACATTCAGAATTTATTTGTTTTACCTTTTATTTTGTTCCTATGTTTAATAAATTAATTCATTTATCTTACTAAACTTACTCGACCAGAAACATTCGCCACACCAAGTGCATTGCACATACACTTTACTAATAAAATAAAATGAAAGATATGTATACAAGACTAGAAGACGACATCCAAGACACCCTATTTTCACTCACATGTATCTGAAACACAAACCAAATTCAAATAATTTCCCTTTAATAACTAAAAAAGAAGTGAGTTTTTAGCTTCAACTTCTTGACCTATTTTTCCTTCATAGAGAGATTATGATATCATCTTGGACCCGAAAGCTCCATGCAATGTGCATCATAATCATCATCCATGGTCATGCCAAAGCCAAACATGGTTGACCCATCGCCCTCACTCGAGCGCGATCTATCACTATTACACGAGAATTTTGCCGGGGCATTAATGTAATTATGGGATGCGGCCCATTTCTCGGCAAGCCCATCTCCCTCCAACATTCTCACAACCTCACACATTTTGGGCCGATGGGCCGGGAGGTATTGGGTGCAGAGTATAGCTACTTGCAGCATCTCACTAACATCAATCTCGTCGTAATTCATTCCCAACTCTCGATCCACAATTACTTCGATTTTCTTCTCTTGTTGTATCTTCTTTACCTAAAAATTTCACAACATAAATTATGTCAACTAATTTACAAAATGCCCCTCGCAATCACATGGCTATAGTCAATATAGATTTGGAATACTGCAAAATATTTTTTGAGTAAATTATGTTTTTAATCCTGTATGTTTCACTACCTTAACTTTTCCGTCCTCTACGAATTGCTTTTTTCAACTTCGTCCCTGATGTTTGCAAAAATGTTAGAAAAATGTCCTCGAGCATACATAAGGGACGAGATTGCAACATTTTTCACAAAACATAANACACAACATACCCATTCGAACACAGCTCCTTTCTGGTTGACCGCCTTCCCCAACTCGAGCGCCCTCATTCCAGTTATAAGTTCCAATAACAGAATCCCAAATCCAAAAACGTCAGTCTTTTCGGACGACTGTCCGGTGGAGAGATATTCCGGCGCAATGTGGCCCACAGTACCACGGACGGCGGTGGTCACATGGGAATCCGCGTGGTCCAATAGCTTCGCGAGCCCAAAATCACCAACAATAGCCTCTAAAAACTCATCAAGCAAAACATTGGCCGCCTTAACATCTCTATGGATTATTTTCGGGTCACATTGTTCGTGCAGATACAGAAGTCCCCTTGCAGCACCAATCGCTATTCGCTTCCTTGTTTGCCAATCAAGACTCGGTTTTCCTGTAAATTGCATATAATCAAACACACACATAAAGAATCAAGTTAATTCACCATATCCCACCAAAAATAATTGAAAAAAAAATAAAAAAAAATTGATGCAAACCTTTGAGTCTTGAGGCCACACTCCCATTAGCCATGTAAGGATAGACAAGAAGCCTCTCATTAGGAGTTGCACAAAAGCCGATTACACGAAGCAAATTCCTATGTACAGCTAAACTGATCATCTCTAGTTCGGTTCTGAACTGAGACTCTCCTGTGGTACCTGTCAAGTCCTTTAGCCTTTTTACGGCTACAAAAGTGCCATCTGGCAATTTTCCTCGATAAACATTGCCAAATCCTCCTGACCCGAGTATGTTTTTCGGGCTGAAGTTGTCCGTGGCTTGTTGGAGTTCCTTGAAAGTGAAGGTTTTAAGGTTTCCGAGTCTGCCAAGGCCGAGGTCCTCTTCTTCGACATCTGGAAAATGAAATGAAAGAAC